AATTTTAAGCTATTTCTTGGAGATGAAAGTTAAGTAAGTTTATGTTGTCTTGTGACGAATTTTATGATTTTGAGGTTTATGAGTGCTTTGGTAGAATAATTATCTACAAATAATTTGCTTAAAATACTAAAGCTATGCATTATCATTCATGCCATCCCTTACCCTCCTTGTCCAAGCTAAAAATAAAACGAGGTCAGGATAATAAAGGCTGTGGCTAGGAAAAATGAATAATGAAACAAACATCTCTTCCTGTTGCATAAATGCTATTAAATCAGGTTGCTCCTTCAAGCAGTGGTGAGTACTGTGTGAAAGCTCTGGAGAATGTGTTCATTTTCTCTGACCTCATGAGTCCCCTTTTTTGGTGGTGTAGCCATTCTAGTGAACACCACACCTAAATTCAGGCCATAGCAGTTTGTATCAAGCATGAAGTTTAGACTGGGTGATAGATACGTTCATCTAAACAAATCTAGTTAAGGGTGACTTAATTAAGAGAATGAAGTTTTCCAGCACTTTTCTGCTTGCAGAGGAATATTACATTAGAACATTCACAGATTTGCACTTCTTGCCAAAATGTAGGCAGAAAAACAAGGGTCAAAAAAATTGAAAGTGATTTGAGAATTCAGCAATGTTATACTTCCACGATGAAAAAACTACTTAACCTCAATCTTAAATCGTTAATTACAAATGGTGTGGCTTAAAACTACTTGTCAGTTTAATGAGTAAAGATTTCTTTTATCTCATAGAGAAGATAGTAATTTGCAGATAGATGTCAGTTTAATATAATGTTGGCTCAGGTAAACATACACGAAACCAGCATCCCCTCTTGTATTATTAAAATAAATTTTCAAGAATGCAGTATAACATGAGTTTTAGTTCAGAACAATGTAATGATAGTAACTAAACTTTTAATCTTTCAGTTGTTTTAAATTTTGTATTATCACTATTTGGTAACAGTTTTCTAATTATGGCATATCAAATGACTGAACTGGTATTTAAAAAATGATTTACTTATATATTTCTTTAGAATACTTATTTAGATATATAATCTGAATATGATTGTGTTTTCTGAATGTGGTAAACTTAAAGGTAGTTAGTCTTTCTTCATGCACTGCTCAATTGTTTAATCTTTTCTTCTGTTTCTGAACTTGGACAAGGGATATAAGATTTTTCAAATTTCAGGTTACATTTTACTTCAATAAGCATGGTTTCTGAAATGGCAAAACCCTCAGGGCTGTGTGATTTTTCACTCATTTGTATATTGAAAGTTCATTGCCAAATAAAACTGAATAAACCACGGAACACATTTTCTCTCCACGCCTGAGAAATGCAAATTGTTATAGGTCAATTGCTAAGAGGTCTTGTCTCCATCTTGTATGTCTTGTTTGCAATTTGGTTTTTATTTATTCTAAGCATACACAATCCACTTTGCATTTGCTTGCTATTTACATGTTTTTCAGTTGTCCTCAAAATTTGCTTTAACATAAGGCACTCTTTCTTGACACTGCCTTCCTAAATAAACCATTTAATGCTTATAATAATGCACACATCTCACCAAACAGGCGCTGCAGTCCTAAACCTCCAGGCCTAGGAGGTGAGGGGTTGTAGCTCAGGTACCCCTCTCAGTAGATGTTTTATTCACATTCAAAGGAATATTAACCAACACACAGAAATCATGAGTATGCTAAGAAACAGATCTGAAGTGGTATGGTAGCAATTTAAAGTTTTTAGGAGATATATTTTGTCTTTCTTGGATATAGAAAATATTACTATTTGGTAAAATTTTGTATGGATGGAGGATATGAAAAATAAAGGAAGAATAGCCATTTATAAAGTTTAAAAGATTAATAATTTCAAATAAAAACTAAAGAAGTTTTAATAAGAAAACAATATTATAATAGTAAGAAAATGTCTAAATGATTCAGATGTTCTAATTGAATTAACTTTATTTTAAATTTTTTTCCTTTATTGTTGTGCTGGGTGGAGGTACATTGTGACATATACAAAGATTCATCAACTATATCATACTTGAATTGATCCCTTCCACCACCTCCCCTTGTCTCCCCTGCCCCCAATTCATTCAACAGTTTCAACAAGTATCATTTTTGCATTTAAATGCATGTGTACACTTTTTTTGCATTGTATTCACTCTCCTACTCCCTTTTCCTGACACTTCTCCCTCCCACTGGAGCCATCCTCTCCCCTGGGCAGGACCTGTTTAGTCCTCCTGTTCTCCTAATTTGCAGAAGAGAAAAGAGAAAAGATAAAAGGAAAATCATGAAATTTTTGCTAATTTGAGATAAAGGTAGCTACACAGGGAGTTTCCTTGTGATTTTTCCACGCATATATGTTTTATACCCCCAATTGGTTTATCTCCACTAATTATCTACATTCTACTTTAGTCCCTTTATTATAGTGGTTTCAGCCAGTTTAAGATTTCTATATCATTCTCGCATAAAGAGTATATTACCCTTATTCAAGTTTTAAATTTCCTTCTTTTACCCTATCCCTCTCATTAGTGACCTTCACTTACTTTTCAGGATTGTTTACAAATAGATGACTTATCTTATCTTACTTTCTTTAATCCACAAAACAATCCTGAGTGGAAAATTGTTTGTATTTAATACACACAAACAGAGATACACTGACAGCCATTAGTTAAAAACCCAAAGTACTTTACAAAAAAGTTTCTTTTAATTGTATCCAATATCTTTTATATCATTTGCAGTTGATTTCAGATTTTTGGGGGCAGCATTACTGGGGTTTGAACTCAAGCACCACTTGAGCCAGACCTTTAGCCCATTTTGCTTCAGTTATTTTTCAGATAGTGTCTTTCACTTTTGCAAAGGGCTGGCCTCTGACTGGATCCTCTTATTTTTGCCAAGTAGCTGTAATCATAGACATGAATAAACGACCTGAGCCTGGTCTGATTTTAGATTTTAAAGTTCACTGCAGTCATGTTTCTGAAATATTCCTTTACTGAGTAGCTGTGGGTCTTTTTAAAATAATAAACATTTTCAAGTATAACCTGACATAATGGACAATGGATGGAATAGTTAAGCTGAAACTTAGTACAGAAGATCTGGACTATAGAGAATGTAGTTCACTTTCATGTTAACAATGAATATCTCAATTTGCAATATAAAAAACTTAGGTAGTGTATGAATACATCACCAGAACTCATTTAGTTGATTAAATTAGCCAGTGTTGGGAGCATCATTTTGCATGCAGTTCCACTGTATCATAAGCAGTCAATGAGAGACAACATACCAGGGGATGAGTGGGCAAACCCAAGGGTATTTTGCTGAGAAAAACTGAATTACTCCAATGAACCTGCCATTTTGTTTCAGCAAGAAAAATCTGTAGTGTGTGAACACTGCAAAAAAGGTGAACATATTTCCTATCTTGACATCTTTTACGAAGTGACAGAAGTCATCATCAATATAGCCTGGCTCAGTATTGGTAAGAATGCTAGGTGTACTTGTCTAGAAGAGGGATGTGAGAAAGAACTAGGATGACTATGAACATTAGAACCTGCTACTATTTTTCTGCTAAAATGAGTAATCCCAACTGTAGCATGTGACTTCAAATGCAGATACCTTTTTCTTTACGGATACTTGTCACTTCCTCAGTACATGGAACTATGTACATGCCTACATGCCTACTCTTCTTACAGATGTAATGGATGCAAATGAAAATAATTTTCTGGAGGTAATTAAGTGGCATTTGGGATTGCTGGTCAAAATCAGAGAAAGACAGATAAAAATGTATCTTCTTTCTCTAGCATTTGTTAGTCAATATGCTTGTCAGTTGGTGAGATGCCTTAAAGACCATCAAACAGAATCCTGGTATAGCAGCAGAAGTTACCTAGGTAACTTAAAACTTTTTCAAGTTCAGATTACATATTTTCATAAAGTGAAAGGGAAAGAACTATTTTTTTTTACTTAACACAAAGTATGACTTCTTGTCGCTATGAAAAGATACATGATCAACCTTTAGCTGATTTTGGCTGATATGTCAACAGATGAGATGCAAAACATAATAAACATCAGTAGACAACTCTCTCAGCTGTCTGTTTTAATTAATTAATTAATTAAAATATTTGGCATTTTTATAAGGTATGACCTAGAGTCAATACCCATCAGAAATCAAAACCAGCTGGGCATGGTGGCACATGTCTATAGTCCTAGCTTTGGGAAGCAGAGGCACGAGGATTGCTTGAGCCCAGGATTTGGAGCCTAGTCTGGGCAACATGATGAGAGGTTAAAGAAATCAAAAGAGGGTACTTTTCAAGAATTCTAGGGATAGAATTTCCATAGAAAATTCATTGCTTCCTTTACTACCTACTTTTTTCCCAAAACAAGTGTTTTTTCTTCATGTGATTTAATGCAAGCACTAAACAAAACTGAGGGCAATTATTTAGAAAACAAAAATATATTTAGGATACTTTGGCAAGTTTTAAAAAAGAAAACATATTTTTCTTTTGAGCTTCATAGGATATGAGCTGAAAGACTGGAAACATGAAAAATCTTGCTTTATTAAAATCCTGGCTTTGGGGCTTTTCTTTTAGGTGAAACACTGCCTAACTAGAAAGTATTAATATTGAGTTAGCTATATCGGCTTTGGAGCACAATAATCATAATGGTACCAATCATTTATTAAATGGTATTGTCTGTCTGACACCACATTATATCATTGATCCTCAGAGTAGCTCTACTTGTCAGTGCTTTTATTATCTTTTCCTTATATAGGCAAGGGAATAAAACTTAGTAAGTTGAAGTAATTCTTGTAAGTTTACATTGCTGATCAGGGATGGAATGGGATTTCAACAAAAGAAAACTGATAGTTTAATTCCTCGTCATAAATTTTGCTATCTCCATTCCACACAAAATTTGTAATTTCTTAATATTGCCTTGGGTAATATGTTGATTGACCTCTATTTCCAATGGAAGGTGCTGAATGCAATCTCTGAGTTATCTACATCCTTGTTTTTCTACCTGTAGGTCCCTGGGGAAGGTGTACAGGAGACTGTGGGCCAGGAGGAGTCCAGAGTCGAGCTGTGTGGTGTTTTCACATTGAAGGGTGGACAAGTCCCTTGTCTAACTGTGATGAGAGTGACAGGCCTCCAAAGGAAAGAAGTTGTTTCCGAGTCTGTGACTGGCACAGTGACCTCTTCCATTGGGAGGTTTCTGATTGGCACCACTGTGTGCTTGTTCCTTATGCTCATGGCGAAGGCAAGCCTAGAACTGCAGACTGTGTGACTGCTCAGCACGGGCTGCAGCACCGGACGTGCGCTGCCTGCAGAAGCTGAATAGAACCATGGTTGCAAGTGAAATCTGTGAACACTTTGCTCCTCAACCCCCCACAGAGCAAGCTTGCCTCATTCCCTGCCCCCGGGATTGTGTTGTATCTGAGTTCTCACCATGGTCCAAGTGCAGCAAAGGATGTGAGAAGAAATTGCAGCATAGAACTAGGGTGGTCATTGCACCTCCTCTTTATGGTGGTTTGCAATGTCCAAATCTGACTGAGTCAAGAGCCTGTGATACTCCCATTTCCTGTCCTCTTGGGGAAGAGGACTACACCTTCAGCCTTAAAGTCGGATCATGGAGTAAATGTAGACTCCCTCATCTTAAAGAAATTAACTTCAATGGAAGAACTGCTCTGGATTTTAGCTCTGATTCAAAGAAGCAAGTGACCTTTAGACAACAAAGTTACAAAGCACATCACCATTCCCAGCCCTGGGACACAGAGATAGGTTACCAAACCCGGCAGGTTTGGTGCACAAGAAGTGATGGAAAAAATGCTCTATTAAGGTAGGAAGTCTTCAGTGCTTGTCTTGATTGATCTAGAATATTTGCCATGAAATTTTATAAGGTTTCTTTATGATTTTCTACAAATGGAAATTGAAATGGAGTTTGTAATTTGAATTTTTAAGTTTCATTTAAGGAATTATCATTTTCACTTTGAAATGCTAGAGCTTTCATAGTCTAAGGCAGCCAATGTGCTAAGTTCTTGAGTAAGTACTGGTATAGTCATAGAAAGTACCTCAAATGTTTCTACATTATGTCAAGAGAACAACTAGTGTAAGCATAGTCTTTTGTAACAATAGAACCAAGTGGTTCTTTATAATAAGAATTTTGTCTTTAAAGGTTTCTTTTTGTTTTGTTTTCAGTTATTTCTGTTTTCAGAAATTGTGAATTTTCTTTCACTTCTGAGTTGTAGAATTTTTGAATTAATAATAGTATCAAAAGTTAATCTAAGAGCACATTTTTTTGGTATTGCTTTAATACAAAAATGAATTTACATCAGCAATAATGAGAATCATCTATCTGTAAAGGGAATATACTCTTAAAATCAAAAGTTTAGATTTCAAAATTATATATTATTATATTTTTAAAATTATAGTCTAAAATTTCATGAAATATAGAAAGACTTAATTTTTCTGCAGGTCATAAATGGGAGTATTGATATATTACTAAGTTTCATCCCAAATGAGATACTTTTCAATAATATTTAAATTCCCAAATGACTTATTTCATGCTGGTCTCTAGAATTCATCCTTATCATTATTTTTTGAGATTCACAGATGACCTCTGCTATTTATGAACAAAATAAAATGATGGTTGCATCTTTCCTCACAGGACTTCACAAATAATTATATTTTATCTTTGATACTTCTTTCTGATTTATGCCAGATACAATAGAAAGTACACTGAAGAGTGATTTGCAACCTTTTTTACCCATCTCTGTAAAATCCAAAAGATTAAGCAAATGATTGGGGTGATTTATTTGAATGCTTATGTAGGATTCTGTATTATTTTCTTAATATTCCATACTGTGTTTATTCAGTGAGCTTTACATGGAAATTTTTCATTTCATTTAATGTGCTTGCTTTTAACGTGTTTTTAAAAACAGACTTTAGTTTTCTGATCAGTTTCAGTCTACAGAAAAATTGAAAGTACAGATAATTCCCAGATACTCCCTCACCACCATTTCCCCTATTATTAACATATTACATTAATGTGGACTGTCTTTGCTCCAGTTGTTTAAAGACTAAACGTTTGTGTTCCCCAAATCATATGCTGAAATTCCAACTGGAAATGAGATGTTATTAGGAGGTGAGGTTTTTGGGGGGTAATTAGGACAAGGAGGTGGAGCTCTCACAAATGATTTGGGTATCTTTATAAGAAGACTCATAAGAACTTGCTCTTGCTTTCCTTATGCCATGTTAGGATACAATGAGAAGTCACATTCTGCAACATGATAGAAAGATCTTAACCAAATTCTGACCATGCCAGATTAAGTCTTCCAGGCAGAACTGTAAGAAATAACATTCTGTTGCTGATAAGACACCACCTAGTCTATCATACTTTGTTATAGCATTCAACTTACTAAGACAGGCTGTTTTTTTTTTTCATCATTTAATTCCTCATGCTGTTTATTTTGGCTCCAAGAGGATGAATTATTGGCATATTCAGAAAGTCTCATACCACCTTTCCTCTTCTCCATTATCATAAAAGTTAAAATTATTTATTTATGAATCAAATAATTTATCTGAACATTTTAACAATGCACCAGCAGTTAGGCAGGTTTTTATTTCATTTTTCATGGAGATACAAAGTCAAATATCACTCTGTACAAGTTGTTATGATTTTTCTCAATATCTGATGATATATGGGGTTCCATTTTGACCTTATGCAATTAATACAAGAAGCAAAATGAACTCTCAGCAATCCCCTTGAGAAAATGCAAATGGGTCAGCAATAATTCATCTGTGCAATACAAGGCTTTGATATAGGACTTCCAAAGCTACTCCAAATGAAGAAGAAAAGAAAAAAGTATATTACGAGGCAAGAGCTATAAACAAAGAGCCAAAAGACTCTTGCATTATTGTTGGGAAGTCAGAACACCTGACATATCTAGGTTGCAAGCTGACAATATTCTTCAAATGTTCACAGCTTTAAAATGTTCACTCCCTAACCCACTGTTTTAAAGACTGAATCCCAAGGAAATAATAGAAGTGTGTCCAAAGAGATATCATATATGGGTGCTCATTTACAGTGTCACTTCCCACAAAGCGAAAGAAAGGAATCAAATACAGGGCTAGACATGTACACCATAGATTGGGGACTAAAACTACAGAGGCATATTTACATATTATGGAGACTGGAAAGCCTAAAATCAAGGTGTAGGTTGATTTGGTTCCCGATAAAGGCTCTCCTCCTGGCTTTTAGAAAGCCATCTTCTTCCTGTGTCCTCACTTAGAAAGAAAAAGCAAAAAAGCAAAAGAAGCAGAGGAGAAGAGAGAGAAAGTCTCTTCTGTGTCAGAGTTGTATAGTTCTCTTTTTTTCCCTAGTGCTGAATATCAAACCCACAAGGCCTTGTGCACAGTTAATCTTGATTGTCAACTTGACTTCATCAAGAAGCACCTAGAATCCTGGTAAGGCACACCTTGGGTGTGTTTGTGAGGGTTTTTCCAGAGAGAAAAGACCTGTCCAGAATATAGATATCACCACCTCACAGTCTGGGAGTCCTGATGGAATAAAAGAGAAAAAAGGAGAAAATCAGGTAGTGCAGTCATTTTCTCTCTGCTTCCTACCCTTCAATATGTGAGCTCCTCTGCTGTACCCTTTCTAGCATGATAGACAGAAAACTGTAAAATCATGAGGTGAAATAAATCTTTCCTCCCTTAAGTGATTTTGCTCAGGAGTGTCACAGTGGTGAAAAACTGACTAATATAGAAAATTGGAACCAAGAAGTGAAGTTGTTGCTGTGACTAAACCTAATTATGTGGTTCTTAAAACTTTGGAACTCGTTTGTGGGAGGAATTTGGAAAAGTTTGGAAATTCAGACTAGAGAAGCCCTATAATACTGAAAACAGAACATAATGAGTGATTTTGTTGGGAGTTTGGAGGATGGGAATGCTGAAAGGAATGTGGGGAGTAGACACTGTCCTGTTGAGGTTTCAGATGTGAATGAAAACTCTATTGGGAATTGGACTTGGGGCCATTCATGTTATGTTTTCACAAAGAACTTGTCAACATTCTGTCAGTTCCCTAAAACTTTTGGAAAGCTGAGTTCAAAAGTAACATATTCATTAATCCAACAGAAGAAATTTCAAGTTGCCTAGCATTCAGGCTGTGGCATAGTTGTTGCTAGCGCTTTTAGCCAAGTTTATGGTAAAAATTGGGAGCAAAAAGTAGAGCAGAAAGTCTTTAAAAATTTGCAGTTTGCTCAGAGAAGCCCATGTAAAATTTGGGCTAAGGAAAATGTGGCTGTTGAAGAGTAAATGTTATTAAAAAGAAGCCAAATACCTTGCATTGCAACAATAGGAAAGATGTGCCTGAGGGCCTCTCAGGGATTAGTCAGACTCATCTGTAGCAGGCTCAGTGGTGTTAAGGTTTTAACTAATTTGAAAAACTTTACTTTGAGAAGAGAGCTCTAGGACTCCCTCTTGCATAGGCTACTGCAGCTCTGATCCCAGGGGATCCAGCTACTGCTCAAGGTGGCCGCAGATCTTGGGGTCATCCACATGATGCTGGTTTTACAGGTATTCAGAATGCAAGAGTTGTAGGTCCATGGAGGCTTCCACCAACATTTTGAAGGAAAATTTTGGAGACCAGGCAATATGTGACAGGGTCTGTATCCCTGCAGGCAGCCCCTGAGAGAGTGATGCTGTGTGAGGGTGAAGTCTAAGCTAAAATAGAGATCCCAGTAAATGGAATTGCCAGGAACACAGAGCATCTGCGAAGTAGAGCTTCATACACCAAATGAAGTAGCCTAAAAGAAATGCAATGTGAACAGCAAGGGTATAGTGGTGAAGCTCCCCAAGTCCTGTGGAGCTCAAATTACTCAACCACATATCCCAGATGTCAGACATGGAGCTAAAGTATTTCATGTTTGCCTTACTGGGTTTCAGTCTTGCTTTGGTCCCTTCCTTCTTTTGAATGAGAGCATTTACTCTGAGCCATTGAATATTGAAGGTATATAATTTTCTTTTTGATTTCACAGAGGCTCACAGCTAAGTGTTTTCTGGAATTCAGAGGAGACTTTGAACTTGGACTTTTGAATTATGATAGAACCATTAAAAAATGGGGATTTTTTTGGATGGATTGAATGCATTTTGCATTATAAGGTAGACATGACCCTTTTGGGGTCAGAGGTAGAATGTTTAAGGAGTGGTAGACAAAGGGTAAACTGTGATAGTCTTGATTGTTGACTTGATTGGATTGAGAAGCACCTAGGAGCTTACTTCTAAGTGTGTTTGTGAAGCTGTTTCCAGAGAATATTAAATAGTAGGGAAAGATCTACCCTGATGGATGTGGCACCATCCCATACACTGAGTATCAGATGGAATAAAAGTCAAAGAGAGAGTCCAAGAGCATAGCATCCTTTCTTTCTACTTCCTGGCTGCCATGATGTGAGCTATTCTGTCATTCTTTCCCCACTGTGTTGGACTGAAACCTCTGAAACCCTGAGACAAATAAATCTTTCTTCACTTAAATTGTGTCAAGAATTTTACCAGTGATAGAAAAATTGACTAAGCTAGTAGTTAAGTACTCTACCATTGAGCTGTACCCCAAACTCCATAGGTTTTTTAAATACAGATTTTTCAGTACATTGCTAGATTAATATATCTCTTTTTTGGTGTTAATCAAAATGGTACTTTGTTTTGAATTTCAAATCCCCATGGTTCATTGCTAATATATGAGAATGCTGTTAATATGTGTATACTGACCTTGCATTCTGTAACCTTGTTATAATTGCTTATAACTTCCAGGAATTTTTGTTGGTTTTGATTATTTTGTAAAAT